AGGACACACAGTGGGGGTGGGGGAGAACCCAAGCAGGGCCATGCAGACTCCCTGAGCTGAAGAAGATAGCTCAGAGTTTGTGGCAACCCAAACTAAAGTGCTCAGAACAGACTGCTGGAGAGAAAAAAAGTGCATAGAGAATTCTGGAGATCTGTAAAGAGCCGCCCTTGACTATTCAGCAGAGCATTACTCATCATGTAAATGTGAGGAAATTACTTGAGGTAAAGGAAAGAACCATCCAAAATGATTAGGGGGAATAGTAGCCAATATTCATAGAGGACTAGAATAGTGTCTGTTCCCATCAGCCAGACTGGAAAACTTCATAATTTGTGGGGGATTGGTTGGAGTTCTCAGAAGGGTCTTGCCTCAGTGGTGAGGACACACTAGTCCCAGTTTATTTATTTTTTTCTTACCCCTAATTTAAACACTGTTCATCCCACCTAATACATTTTAAAAGTAAGACCTGGAGGGATCAAACTGTTTCTAAGTAATGTAACTGCATCTCACAACAAGCCTCAAGAATGTTTACAGGAATACAAAAATAATCAGCATGCAAAAACATAAAAAGTCTAATAAAAAAATTACTAGTCATGCAAAGATGCAGAAAAATATGAACTACAGTGAGAAGGAAAACCAATCAACACCAACCCAGAACTGACACCTATGTAAGAATTAGCAGATAAAGACATTATTATAGCTGTATTCCATATGTTCATATAGCTAAGTAGAGACTTGGAAGATTTTTTAAAATATTTTTTAATATACAAATTGAACTTGCAGAGATGAAAACCTATGTCTGAGATGAAAAACAAAATCACTGGATGGAATTAACAACAGTTTAGACACTGAAGAAAAAATATTAGTGAACTTGAAGACATGGCAATAGAAATTGTCCAAACTGAAACACCAAAAGAAAAGAATTTTAGAAATGAATAAAGAGGTACACAATATATAATAGGTAGAAAATGCATCCTTTACAAATATTTAAAACTATGAAAAAATATAGACATCAACTAAAAATGGGCAGGAGGGTACACTGTTTTTGGTTCTTTAAATTATTTGTGGAGGTACGTGAACAAAAAAAAGACAATTTTGAAAATGCTACTCCAGCTTCCCCCTTTCTGTATGACTTTGCTTCTTTGATCACCCCCCTCCCACTGAAGCATCCTTTTTATCCTCTTATTCCAGTTAGCACATGTATCCACTAGTAGCTCCACCTTTGAGAAAACCCTTCCTTGACCCCCACAACCTACCTCCACAGTTACTGCCCAGTTGCTCTACTCCATTCACAAAGTTTCTAATGTCTACACCTGTCATCTTTGCTTCCTCAATTCTCATGGATGCTTTAACCCACTCCAGTGTGGCTTCCACTCAGACCTACCCCCTACACCAGAATTCCCTTTGCTGTATTTGCCAATGACTTATTTACCAGTTATTTTCAATAGTTTACCACTCCCTCCTTCAGCAGTTTACCACTTCTTCCTCCTTGGCTTCTAAAACACCACCCTTTTTTTGTTGTCTTCTCGCCTCTCTGGCACCTCTTTATCAGGTTTCTTGGCTGGCATCTCATCACTGCAACTTATAAATGCTGCTACCCCTATCCCTGGCTCTCTGTACACTCTACAATTCTTCCCTTGGTGATCTCATCCAATATCTTAGCGTTTGTTTTTTTTTTTTAATACATCCATATACCCATGACTCCCAAGAGTATATCTCCAACCCAGAGTCCCCTCTGGGCTCAAAGCCTGTATTCCAAACTGACTACTTGACTGCTCCACATAAATGTCTGAGAGGCATTTCATGTTTACCATGTTAAAACTAAGCTCTCAATCTCCCAGCAACAAAAATAGTGACTATCCACACAGTTATTCAAACCTAGGAATTCTCCTTAGATTTACTTCTTGGGGTGCCTGGGTGGCTCAGTTGAGCACTCAACTCTGGGTTTCAGCTGGGGTCATGATCTCAGGGGTTGTGGGATCCAGTCCTGCTTAGGGCTCCGTGATCAGCAGGGAGTCCACTTGGTGATTCTTTCCCTTTGCCCTTCTCCCCATTTGTGCACTCTAACGTACTCTAAAATAAATAATCTTTTAACAAAAAAAAAATTTTTTTTTTACAAAATCTACGTATTCTAAAATAAATAATCTTTTTACAAAAATTTTTTTACAAAAATTTTCTGGGACACCTGGGTGGCTCAGTAAATTTAACATCTCCCTTCAGCTCGGGTCATGATCCCAGGGTCCTGGGATCAAGCCCCAAGATTGGCTCCCTGCTCAGTGGGGAGCCTGCTTCTCCCTCTCCCGCTCCCCTTGCTTGTTGTCTCTCTCTCTCTCTCTGTCAAATAAATAAATAAAATCTTAAAAAAAATAATTCCTTCTCCCTTTCCCCTCCTCCCATATCCAGTCCAACATGGTCCTGAGATTCTACCTCAAAAAACTGTCTTAAGGGATCCCTGGGTGGCACAGCAGTTTAGCGCTTGCCTTTGGCCCAGGGAGCGATCCTGGAGACCTGGGATCGAATCCCACGTCGGGCTCCCGGTGCATGGAGCCTGCTTCTCCCTCTGCCTATGTCTCTGCCTCTCTCTCTCTCTCTCTCTCTCTGTGACTATCATAAAAAAAAAAAACTGTCTTAAATGTGTCTGCTTCTCTTCTATCTTTGTGGAGTCTAAATGGGGTGTCTGTCCAATCAGATGGGGGCCCCCAAAATGTGGGGCAATCAAGTGGAAGCTGGTGGCATGGGTGGTGGAAGGATCCATCTGAGGCAGAACAAAAGAGATAGAAGTTTATTAAATATAATGCAAGGGAGCCACAGGCAGGAGAGCAGAGGAGAGGTTGTCGGCCGGCCGCCGTGGGCACGGGTTGTCTTTAAAGAGGGAAAGAAAAGAGGCACGGCGAGTACTGATGCTTCCCCTTTTCAGTAACCGCCTAGCTGTAAGTAGCGCATTGGTCAGTTAAGGTCTATGGAGATTTCCAGGTGGGTCACCTGATGGGTCCATGTGTATTCAGCCGGGTGGTGTGGCCTCTTTCTGCATGTCATTGCTCAAGCTTGTTTGCCTAAAAGTGGCCTCTACACTCTAAGCACTCTCATAGCCAAGCGACCATCATCTCTAATGTGTAGCCTCCCAGTATCTCCCAGTAGCCTTCCAACTATCTCCCTAGTTTTGCCCCTACCCCTCCTTAATCTATTTTCCATGAATTAGTCAGAGTGAGCTTTTTAAAATATAAATTGAATAACACTCTCCTGCTCTAGAATTCCAATGACTTCCCACTACTCTTGAGATAAAATCTAATCCCTTCATCTTGGGCCTTCCAACCTTGCCTCAACTCCAGCTTTATCTGTACCACTCTCCTCCCACCTTTCATTTTCAGCTAGTCATTCCTGCTTTGGGACTTTGCATTTTCTCTCTCTCCTCCATTGTTCATCTGATTAACTCCCACTCATCTTTTATTTATTTAAGGATTGTATGTATTTATTTGAGTGGGAGAGCTTGGGAGAGCAAGCACTGGGGAGGGGTAGAGGGAGAAGCAGGCTTCCCACTGAGCAGGGATGTGGGAATGGATCCCAGGACCCTGGGACCAAGACCCCAGCTGAAGGTAACTGAGCCATCCAGGCACCCCAAACTCCCACTCATCTTTTATTAATCAAACACTACCTTAGATTTTTTTTCCCTAACTATCCAATTTCAACTAAATTTTTCCCGTTTTTCTGTCATAGCACAATTGTGCTTTTCCTTCATCGTTTTACTACAGTTGGCAAATACATATTTATTTGAGTTTTTTTCCCATTTAATTGAGATGTAACTAATAAGTTTGTGTGGTTGTTTACATTTCCTAGATTGTAAATTCCAGGAGGGAAGAGGCAAAGAATGTCCCATATTTATTGCCCCTCCCCCAATCCTTCCTCTTGTAGGAGTGGTCTGGCACAGGGCAGGTGCTCAATAACTATTGAGTGAAATGAATGAGTGCATTAAGTGCTTGAGTACCCTTGCTCTATTCTCTAGTAGCAGCTCTGAATCTCTGCTTAAAATCTGGATTAAGTGCTGGTGCACCTGACTGGCTCAGCTGGTAGAATGTGGGACTCGATCTCCCAGTTGTGAGTCCAAGCCCCTCCTTGGTCACAAAGCTTACATTAAAAAATAATAAGGGCACCTGGGTGGCTCAGTGGTTGAGTGGTTGCCTTTGGCTCAGGTCCTGATCCCTGAGTTCTGGTATCAGTCCTGCATTGAGCTCTTTAAATCTTTAAAAAAATCTTTTTATAAATTAAATAAATAAAAATAAAATCTGGGTGTTACTAAAGTTAGGACTAGGGTGCCTGGCTGGCTCAGTCAGCCAGTTATGCCTCTGACTGATTTTCAGCTCAGGTCATGATCCCAGGGTGGTGGCATCAAGCCCCGCCTGGGGCTCCGCGCTCATGTAGGACTGAGCTGGAGATTCTCCCTCCATCTCCCCTTCTCCCTGCTCACATGCTTTCTGTCTCCATCTCAAATAAATACATCTTTAAAGTCAGGACTGCGGGTAGGTGTGGCGAGTATTTCGACCCTTTTAATTTTTTTAAAGACCTTATTTATTCACTCATGAGAGACACAGAGATAGAGAGAGGTAGAGGGAGAAGCAGACTCCACGCAGGGAGCCAGATGTGGGACTCCCGGATCAGGCCCTGGGCCGAAGGCAGGCGCTAAACCGCTGAGCCACCCAGGCATCCCTATTTCGACCCTTTTAAAACTTCACTTGCTCCTCTCCACATGCCCATCTAAATATTCTTATGCTCTTGCCAATCAAGCATCATGCAAAATCCCTGACAATCACAGACCAAATAGAGGATTGTGACATAGACTCTAAATGTGACTGCGTGTGTGTCTCAAGCCCAGAATATGACGCTGGCGGCTCATAGCTCCTTTCAGGCCGACAAGGTGCACCACTCCCCTCCCCGCCCAGACCTGGGGCCTCGGACACCCACAGCCTAGAAGCCGGGGCTTTCGCCTCGGCTCTGCTCTGCCGTACAGCATGGCAGCCCCTCGAGGCGTGGCCCACAGCACCGCGCGCCGTACAACATGGCCGCCTACGGGGCGCGCTCAGAGTCCCCTCCCGCCCAATCGCCGGAAGTTTCCATTTGAAAGCGCGGCGGCAGCCCGGGTAGCTGGTGCGGCAGTTACCGCGGAGCGTCCTTTGAACCAGGGCGACGAGGGTAGCGGCCAGGAGCTGCAGGCGCCTGGGTTCGGCTCTCCTGGGGCGAGGGACGGGGCTGGATGTCGGGGGGGCGCGGGATGGACCGGGAATGGAGAATTTTCTTTCTCCCGACTTCTTCCCGGGGCCGGGACAGGCCAGGTCGCGCTCTCCGGGGGCCCTCCGCCTACTCGGGGCCCTGACCCACCAGAGGGTAACATTCACCTTGCACCTTCCAGGGCCCAGCCGTGCCGCCTCGTTACGATGACCAGCGTGGTTAAGGCCATATACACCCTGCAGCCTCCCGCTGTGCAGAGCGGCGGCCTGCCGTCAGGTGGGTGCCCACGCCGGTCAGGCTGGGGAGTACGAGGGCTCAGGTCGGGGGCCGGCAAAGGGGGGCGCGGGCAGGGGATGGGCATTCCATAGGCTCTGACAACCTGCTGACTCCCCTAGAACCGGGCTATCTATCTAGGTTTATGATGGGGGCTGGGGAAGGGCCCTGTGGTAGGATTTTAGACCTGCCCTCCCTCTTTCGTCCTCCCAAACCTAATCGTGCTGCATTCACTAATTTGATTCAAGTTGCTGATTGTTCCACAATATTATTTCCTCAAGTTAGGAATCCCTTTTTAAACAATTGCCCGTTTTATTTTCAGATCTGGGCTATCTGGAGGGACTGGGTTTGTTGTCAGGGAGAAGGGAGGAGAGTCATTTGAGAAGCCTCATTCTTAGAGGGAGGCACTACGGTTCGCACCGTGTCTCTCATAAGGTAAACTATATCAAAACATCAAAAAATGTTTGTTGGGTGAAGGGAGAGAGAGGGGCCAGGCTTAGCCACAGTCTTCCACAACCTTGGGAATAGAAATAGGATTAAAAGCAATATCTGATTGCTTTGCCATCTTGCTTTGTGTGTTACCGGGCTTGTGGTTGAAAGTAATCTCCTAGGCTCTGCGGTTATGGAGCTGCCTAATCTGGAGAGCAGAGCCCAAAATAAGCTACAAACATCAGAACCTGTGTGGGAGTTTTTGAAGGAGCTATTTAAGACCCCTTCCCAGGGGTCTCTTCCCAGGTGGTTGGTGCAGTAGCTGGATTGATCTGTGAAGTGAACAGGCTTTTATTTCTCCAAAGGCTTATAGTTTTGTTTTTATTTTTATTTTAAATTTTTTTAATTTATTTATGATAGTCACACAGAGAGAGAGAGGGGCAGAGACACAGGCAGAGGGAGAAGCAGGCTCCATGCACCGGGAGCCCGACGTGGGATTCGATCCCGGGTCTCCAGGATCGCGCCCTGGGCCAAAAGGCAGGCGCTAAACCGCTGCGCCACCCAGGGATCCCTAGTTTTGTTTTTAAATCTTACCTGGCCTAAGAACACCTAAATAGTAATCTGGCATGGGAGCTGGGGCCAGACCCTTTGCCCTCCCTTTGCCTGAAGGCATTGTCCTTCCTTGGGTGGAGAGTGATTGGCTCTCCCCAGCCAAGTTAGAAGTTTTTATCTCAGCTTTCTCTCTCTGTCCCAGCTTTATGATCATATATAATCTCAGTAGTTTAATATTTTAAGGCTGTCTCCCAGGGGTTTTTTTTTTTTGACTATATAACATACATATGTTAAAAGGATTGAAAGTTAGAAAGTGTAGACCTTGATCAACCATCCAGTTCTCCTTAGCATTTCTTATTTCAAGAAGACAGTCTTTGTTAAATCCTAAGTTTTTCCTATAATGAAGTCCTTAGGCTCTAGCAAGTACAGATTATTAGAACTGATTCCAGTCAATGAAGAGGGGAATGTTTTTTTAAGATTTTATTTATTTATTCATGAGAGAGAGAGAGAGGCAGAGATATAGGCAGAGGAAGAAGCAGGCTCCCTGTGGGGAGCCCAATGTGGGACTCCATCCTGGGACCTCAGGATCATGACCTGAGCCAAAGGCAGGCACACAACCACTGAGCCACCCAGGTGTCCCATGAAGAAAGGTAATTTTAATCAACTTATTATTAACACCTTCTCCTTGGGGGTAGCCGTGTTACTGTGTATGACTTACTAATACTTGAAAGAGGAGGTAACTGTGTTACCCCCAACATTATTTTTTACTTCAGACAGAGACCTGGGGCGCCTGGCTGGCTCACTTGGTAAAGCACGTGACTCCTAAACACCGGGTTGTGAGTTCAAGCCCTATGTTGGATGTGAGGCCTACTTTAAAAAATAAAAATAAATAGATAAAAACATGCGTACTTCAGACAGAGACCTCAAAAAGAACCCTTCCAATATTGCTTTGTGCGTAAGAGAACAGAAAAATAGGGTTTAAGTCCTCAGTGAGTGTACCTATAAATGAAACAATTTGTTAGCCTGAGAAATCATATTTATTCCAAACTGCTGTGTAGCTAAAGTCATCAAAATAAAATCTGTGTCAAATACAGATACAAAATTTCCTGATCCCTGTGATCCAGTCAATGCTTTGTACCGCATTTCTTCAATCTGATTTAATCATTCCAGCTCTTAGTTTAGGCCAAGCTGAAGAATGAACAAAGTGAATGTTTAAACTGGGAAACCCATGGGAGTGGTTTGGGGTAGGCAGTGGAGGAGCGGTACATGACTCCAGAACAAGTTACTTGAATTTGCCATGGAATATACATGGTAGAAAGACAGTGTGGTGGAAGACTGGCATAAGGACTAGGGAAGAAGAGTGTCCTGGCAGGGCCATTTCTCAGCTTATCTGGCAGTTACCCTAGCAAGATGAAAACAGAATGCCAAATAGGGAAGCTCTGGACTTAATAAAAAATTAAAAGGGCTGGCAGTAAAGGCAATCAGCGTGGAAAAGGGAAAGAAAAAAAAAGGCAAGGAAAGAAGACTAGAGGAGATGATTTAGAAATGGTCTGCGAAATAACCCGGGGAGCTGTGAAGCATTCCATTTACTCAACAAGTGGGTGCTGAACCGCTGTGACTCTGCCAGATACTCTGCGAGGCACTGGGGACACAAAGACATCTCTTAGATATTTAGGGAGACTGTCCAGTCAAAATAACTTAACAGTTAAAAGAGGACCTGTGGGCAGCCCCAGTGGCTCAGCGGTTTAGCGCTGCCTTCAGCCTGGGGTATGATCCTGGAGACCCGGATTGAGTCCCACGTCGGGCTCCCTGCATGGAGCCTGCTTCTCCCTCTGCCTGTGTCTCTGCCTCTCTCTCTCTCTCTCTCTCTCTCTCTCTCTCTCTCTCTCTCTAATGAATGAATCAATCAATCAATCTTTTTTTTTTAAAGATTTGCGGCAGCTTGGGTGTAGCCTTGGAGAGCGTGTGGAGTGCCTGGTGGCTGAGTACGAGGACCTTCGCCTGGTGGGTGGGTTCCAGTGGGTTCCAGTGGGTTCCGCTGCTGCTGAAGAAGGACTCCAGCTGGGTGCTGCCCTGCTGACGGCCACGCTGCCTCCCATTTAGCTCTCGGCTTGTACCAACATTCACTTTCCCACCTATACCCATTCAGTTTTCTGAATCCTCAAGTTCTCGGCTATCCTCAAATATATTGCACCATCATTTTTGAAGAATTTTGGTTTCCATCTCCAATTAGGCTAGAAGCCGTGTTCTTCTGAATGAGTCTTCACAAACTGAGATGGGCCAGCGTGAAAGTACAGGGTTCTGACAACCCGGAACGGAATGGTTAGTTGCAGCGGTTGGGTCACAATGCTTGAGATTTCACCCGCTTGTTTTCCTTTGCAGACACACAAACTCGAGCCACTTCTAAGAGCCTCTTACCTGTTAAATCCAAAGAAGTGGATGTTTCCAGATTTCATTCAGGAGGTTCAGAAAATGATGTTACAAAAATCGTCAAGCCAAGACGAGAGAACGGGTGAGAGATTGTTGGTATCCAAGGAGAACATCTTGCTAGAAATTGCTCATTGTCAGGTTTAGAAAATAGGAGTCTTGAGAGCAGAGGGCAGCCCGAGTCAGTTGTGTGTCAGAACCCTCTGTGTTGACCAGTTCTGAAGAGGCCTAGCGAGGGTCAAGATAACAGGGACTTTCTTCTCTCACCTCTTGCTCTGAGTGTGCAAATGGCAGTATTAAGGCCAAACACCAGCCCTACTTGGTGGTCAGGGTGGATGGGGCTGCCCATTCGCCTAGATTGCCAGTCTGAGCGTAGTCCTGCCCAAGCTAGTGTGTGTGTGTGTCCATCTACTCAGTTCCCTTGTTTGCCAGCTTGACATGAGATAGCCACACCATTGTGAGGAGCAGCAGGTCTGTCGGGTGGTTGAGGTGGGTCAGGAGTTGGAGTCCATTCCCTGTTAAGCCTTTTTCAACAGTCCTAGGCTGAGACAAAAGGGCATAGGCCTTCAGAGCTTCTCAGGCTGTTTGCATTGTATGTAATCCCTGTTTTTTCCTCAGAAGACCAGGCTCTTTGTTCTGCCTTGTTCATAACACACGTAACAACAATGCTACAAGTGTCTGATTTCTTTGTTGTTAAGTTTTGTTTTTTAAAGATTTGATTAAAAAAAAAAAAAAGATTTGATTTATTCATGAGAGACAGAGAGAGGGAGGCAGAGACATGGGCAGAGGGAGATGCAGGCTCCCTGCAGGGAGCCCGATGCCTGACTCCGGGATCATGCCCTGAGCCATAGGCCTATGCTCAACCACTGAGCCACCCAGGCGCCCCTCTTTGTTGTTTTTTTTAAACATCATATTAGTTTCAGATGTACAACGTAATGATTAGGTATTTGTATCTATGGCAAAATGATCACTGCAGTAAGACTAGTGAACATCCTGATTTCTTTGTAATTGCTTCTCTAGGCAGGTCAAAGCTGCAGACCCTGCCATCAGGAGGAACATCAGAAAGAGGTGAGCATCAAGGTGAATGAGAGTTGGCCACCATTTTAAGGTGGTGGATCTCAATCCTGGTTGTGCCTCACACTCACTCGTGGGTTTGTTTCATGTGTTACAGTCTGGGTGCCAGCCCAAGAAATCTGAGTGGAATTTTCAGGGGTGAAGCACAGCCAGGTTCGAGAATCACTGTCAGGGCAAGGATCAGTGATGCGCCCATCTTGAGAACCAGACAAGAGCTTTTTGGGCTCCATGCCAGGACCACTGTTAATTGGAAACCAAACCCAGCTCGGGGCCATCAATAGAATGTGAGCCTTCAGGCTAGGAGGCACTGTGTGTGGTCAGTGACTCTGAGATGGTGGTGGTTGTGGTGGTGGCAGAAATCCTGGGGAAGGATCCATCTCTGTTTGAGGCTAGCTTGGATGTTCTGTAGTTCTGAGGACAGAAATAATACAAGCTGGAAAGTTTATAGAAATAGGTTCTAATCTCAAACCTATCATTTGGGCATGTGTTAAAAGATCTGAAGATAGGGGCCCTGGCTTGCTCAGTCAGTAAAGCATGCAACTCTTTTTCTTTTTTAAAAGATTGATTGATTTTAGAGAGCACGGGGGAGGAGCAGAGGGAGAAAGAATCTCAAGCAGACTCCCCGCTGAGCGCAGAGCCCCAGTGGGGCTCAATCTCAGGACCCTGAGCTGAAATCAAGAGTCAGGCACTTTACCAGCTGAGCCACCCAGGTACCCTCAGCATGCAACTTTTAATCTCCAGGTTCAAAGTTCAAGACCCACTTTGGGTGTAGAGATGACTTAAAAAATAAAATCTTTAAAAAAGAAGTCCTGAAGATAAAGTACTATTCAAGAAAGACTCTGAGGGCACTGAAAAGAAGGTTTAATATTGATGATGATAATGACTATTATTTATTAAGTATTTACTATGATGTGTCAATAGCTGTACTAAGAATTATACAGGTATTCTCTTATTTTTCACAATAGTGATATTATGCAATGTATTATCCTAATTCTAGAAATGAGGCAACAAAGCCTCAAAGAGGTTATGTGACTTACTGAGGGTCCTGTACCACTATATAATGAAGCCAAGATTTGAACCCCTGTGTGTATGACCCCACAAGTCATTTTCTTAACACCTCCACCTCTTATAAGCACACTTACCATTACAGCTACAAACCGCTGAGTAAGCAGAAATCAGAGGAAGAGCTCAAGGATAAGAATCAGCTCTTAGAGGCCGTCAACAAGCAGCTACACCAGAAGTTGACTGAAACTCAGGTAAGAGACCTGCCGGACCTCTGTCACCCCTGCACTAGGTAATGCGTGGAATCCCGAGGGATGGCCCTGTGGGTGGAAGAAGACTGTATTGCCTGGTCCCCGGAGGGAGGAAGAGAAGACGCCAGGCTTGGGCCATGGCAGTACAAGGAGCAAGGGCGGGAAAGACCACCCGTGCAGAGTGGGACCAGCCTGATTGTCTGCATGGCACCTCACTAGGGAGAACTGAAAGACCTGACTCAAAAGGTGGAGCTGCTGGAGAAGTTTCAGGATAACTGTTTGGCAATTTTGGAGAGCAAGGGCCTTAACCCAGGTAAGAGATGGGACACAGTTGCCTTTGGAGGAGTCAGTACACCTGCCATTTCCTGGGGTGATTGTGGACGGTGTGTCAGGATTCCAGCATCCCATCAGCTGACCCGTTTAGTGCAATGGTTGCTTAGCACAGCCCTGAAGATTTGGAGGATCTTTTAGTTCTTTTTTTAAGATTTTATTTTACTATTTTTAAAATATTTTATTTATATGAGAGAGCAAAAGAGCACGAGCAGGGAGTGGGGAGAGGGAGAAGCAGACTCACCAGCTGAGCAGGGAGCCTGCCTGATGTGGGGCCCGTGGGATCATGACCTCAGCCGAAGGCAGACACTTAACTGACTGAGCCACCCAGGCGCCCCTAAGATTGATTGATTGATTGATTTTTAAGATTTTATTTATTCATTCATAGACACACAGAGAGAGGGGCAGAGACACAGACAGAGGGAGAAGCAGGCTCCACGCAGGGAACCCATGTGGGACTCCATCCTGGGTCTCCAGGATCACACCCTGGGCTGCAGGCGGCGCCAAACCGCTGCGCCACCGGGGCTGCCCCCTAAGATTTATTTTTAAGTGATCTCTGCACCCAACCTGGGGCTCAAACTCACAACCTCAAGATCAAGAGTCACAAGCTCTACTGACTGAGCCAGCCAGGGGCCCCTGGAGGAGCTTTTCTTTGTTCCCTTGTGATGTTGACTTTTAAGCAACAGAATTTCAGTTATTGTGGAGGGAGGATTATCTCCTATCTGAACACTTTATGCCATTCATTTGGTGCCTCCAAGTATCATCTTGCAAATAGACCAGAAATCTTTTATTTATTTCAAGGCAGAGAGCAAATACTAACTTTCCCAGATGGGAAAAGACAGATATGATATTGTTTCAAGGGCTCCTAAACCTGGTTCGTCAGCAGACTCATAATGGTTAAATGTGATTTCTGTTCTGACCCTGTCCCTAGAGAGCAGAGTTTGTAGAAAGAGAGGAGTAGAAGAAGTAATTGCCCAAAGACTGTACAAGAGCTTCAGACTGAGATGAGGAGCCTGAAAATACCCAGGAAGGGGCCCAGGCCTCTTTGAATTCAGAAACACTGACTTTGAATGCTGCTGATTAACCTGTGATTTTAGGATATATTCTTTATAGTCACCATATACGTTTTTGTAGGATTTTAATTTACAATGTGTATGCACTAATTTTACCAAAAATAACTTTTTTAAGCCCAAAAGCTTTAAAAAGTTTTTTGTTAGGCTTCTGGGTTGTTCATTTGGTTAAGCGTCAGACTCTTGATTTGGCTCAGCTCATGATCTCAGGTTGGTTGGATTGAACCGTCTCTCAGGCTCCTGGGGTCAAGCCCTGTGTCAGGCTCCATGTTTAGCAGGGAGTCTGCTTAAGGTTCTCCCCCTCCTTCTCCCTCTGCCCCTCACCTCACTCCACATGTACACGTGCTCTCTCTCCTCTCTAAAATTAAATAAATCTTTAAAAAACTTTAAAAAATAAAAATAATTGTTTGTATTATAAACAAACCCAAAAAGTCCAACCTATACATTTCCTTTGGACACATTTCCTGCTAAGCTAAAGAGAAAGCAGAATGAACTTTTGACCGTATCCAAAGCTAGAGAGGAGGGAGGTAAAATAAAGCTCTGAGGGAAGGTGTAGGTGCCCCTGCCAAGGAGAAAACTTGGGAGAAAGTCAGGGAACAGACTCTTTGAGAAGTTTCCCTCATGAATATTCCTGTTCTTGTCTTTGGAGGGGTTTTTAGTTTTTAGGTGCAGTTCCCTAAGCAAGGCTGACTTTGTCATTTGCATCAGTTTTAGGCAGCGAGACCTCAGCATCACAGCAAGAAGCCACCACGGATCATACAGGCTCTATGGTGAGGGTGTGGGTGTGAGTGGGGGAGGGCTAAGTGACCATGGGGCTCTGCCCAGCCAAGGTCTCTGCCATGTGCTCAGCAAAGTCCAGGAAGCAGCCTTTGTTTTCCATGATAGTGGGAGAAAGCAGTGGATGTGTACTCAAAATAGCATACTTTACTTGGAAGGCGACTTTGTGCTTACAGATATGAGTGGGTCTCAGTTAAAAATATGCTACGTTAAGACACATGATAAGATGGACCTGTATAGAGAACTTTCTGGCTTTTCGGTTCTCTACCAAATTTCTCCCCTTGCCCATTTACTGAGAACCGCACGATGGAAAGATCCAGCCTGAATTAAATTCAGCTTCTCTTTGGTTCGCTCCCCAAAGTGGGAAGGTAGTTGTTTGATATTGTCTTTGAGCTTCTATGGCCTCTTCCCCAGAAAGGTCAGTTGTCATCTTAGGATCATAGACTAACTATGGAAGCCTTCCTCTGACCCCACAGGCTAGCAGTCACCTCTTCAATGGCTGTTTTGCCCACATTGCCTATATAACTAGAGCACATGCACGTGGGGTGGTCTGTCCATCCTGTGAACTCCAGGGGTGCCTAGTAGCCCAGCACGTGTGGGATGCTCAGTGAACGCCTGACTGAACAGAAGGGTTGTTGGTGATCATCTAATTAACATTTGTTTCTTATGAAGAGGTTAGGTTAGTTTATATGAGGAAAGTTTTCACATATCTGTAAAGATTTGTTACTGTGTTGTACTTTACTCTTAGTTGCTGTTAGAAACATTGCAAGATGAGCTGAAGCTTTTTAATGAAACAGCCAAAAAGCAGATGGAGGAGTTACAGGTGAGAGGCAGATGTCATCCTGAGGCAGGATAACCATTTCCTGCCACAGGGGGCGGGTCTCTGGAGGACTTTTTCTTAACCAATTTATTTCTTTTTGATAAACTACTTGTAATAATAGATTTATGGGAGCATTACAGAGATGATGGAGTTCAGTGCCCTTAATATTAACATCATGCACTATTGTAGTCTATTTGTCAAAATTAAAAAACCAACATGGATGCATTACTATTAACTAAATTCCCAGACCTCAGTTGATTACTGATTTTCTGTTCCAAAGACTCACCTCTACAGAGCTTGAGGCAATGTGCAAAACGCTAAATTGCTCAAAGTAGGAGGTGGGCCTGTGTGTGTGTGTGTAAGCTATGCTTTGGAAACCTGATATCTCAAGGAAACCTATAATAGGAAACTGGATTCTTGAGTCTGGACTGCTTTCAATTGCTTGGAAGAATCATGGGACAGGACACAGAATCCTAGAGAATTTCATGGCTCCTGTTTAGATATAGGAGTGTGTAGTAGAGACCATTCCTAAACCCAGCACAGATGAACAGATCTAAGATAGAAAATCTCACGTCTGTTGGCATTCAAGTAGTCTTTCTCAAGGGAAGAGAAGCATAATGTCCTGAAATGGTGTTGCCTTTCATGTGAATCAAAGTTTTGTGGGTGTTCTTTTTGAATGTCTTTCCATGCAGGCCTTAAAAGTAAAGTTGAAGATGAAAGAAGAAGAGAGGGCCCGGTTCCTAGAACAGCAGACATTATGTAACAGTCAAGTAAATGATTTTACAGCAGCCCTAGAGGAAATGGAGCAGCTATTAGAAATGTGATAAAAAGCTAGTGACCAGATGGCTCCCCCAGGGGAAGCCACTTAGGACATCTGCTTCTTGGCCATGACCTTCTAGGACTCACCATCCCCAGAATGGAAACATTTTCTGCGTAGGATTAAGGACAGTATAGGCAAGCGTGCGCCACCCTTAGACTGGTGGGCTCTCCTGAACCTCACACATACATTATCGAGGCTGGCAAGAGGGGGCCCCAAAAGCTTGGATCAGCCTTCTAGGCCACAAAGCAGCATGCCATTAGAATCAGGAGACTAAACCAACGCCAGCCAGAGGATCCCAAAGGTCATGTTCAGATGTGTAAGAAGAAAACCTTAATTGTACAGTGGAGCACAGAGGCTCTACAGGAGACATCACTGAGAAGCCATGCTGTCCCCTTGAACTTGGAACACATTCTGTTTCATCCTGGTTGGGCTCTATACCTCATTGTAAATTAATGAACAAGAAGTTACTTGAAATGGCTTAATAAATGGGGGTGAAGGTATAGATAGCAATAACACCTACCTGAAATAATACACCTTGGAGCTTTTAATCTAAATCACTTTTTTTTAAGTGCTACTTGTAAAATAAATATTTCTGTAACTATCCTGACTATAAGATTAAGAAATGAAAATAAGCCTTTTAACTGAAAAATGTCCATTGAACGCTCTTGACCTGATCTAGTTGACAAGTTCAAAACCTCAATCTAACCCAGAATTTTTTCTTCTACTTAAGTTCTCTGTCGCCAGCCTTGCTGTCTTCCAGGAGCAGTAGCTGGTCTTCTGAGGTTGTCCCCTCTTCACAGCAGTGGGTGCCAGACTCCATCCCCCAGGCGTGTGTCACTAGCTGCCTGTGTCCTCCCTATATTCTTGAGCCTGGTTTTCTGCTGCAATGTGCACAGCCAATCCTAAACCTGGCCCATGTCCTAGGTCAGCTAAAGTCCATGGCAGGCTTCCCCTCAGCTTTACCAAAGGCATGGCTCTGTTTCATTTCTTCATCCATCCAGGCAGATTTTGGCTATCTTCCCTTTTTTTTTTAAGGTTTTTATTTATTCATGAGAGAGAGAGAGGCAGAGACCTAGGCAGTGGGAGAAGCAAGCTCCATGCAGGGAGCCCAATCTGGGACTCGATCCCGAGACTCAGGGATCCCACCCTGGGCCAAAAGCAGGCGCTAAACTGCTGAGCCACCCAGGCTTCTCGCCCCCCAGCCTCCCTTGAGCATTGAGACTACCACCCAATCGGGCCAAGTAACACCCCCACCCTGACTTTCAGGGCTAAATTTCTTTGCCTTCACACACAAACCTTCGCATAGTTGGTTATAGCCCAGAAATTATCAGGGAAACCCAGTTACATAATTCTCACCAGTGACAATGGCTGAATATTTTCTTCTACTCATTTCAGCATGTTTATAGCTTAAAAGGTTATTTACTCCAATGAATCTGTAATTGGCATTTCTGGCCAAAAAAAGAAAAAGTTCTACTTCTTGGAAGGAGAGGGGAAGAACTCAGCTGTGGGATCCTGACCTCCTTGCCAGGCTTCCCTTGGTAACAACTGGGAATGTAACTCTCAATGCCTGTTACCCATTTTTCCCAGTGCGGAAACCCTGCTCTCTAGTGGCCTGGGCTCCCAAGGGGCCTTTGCCTCACGGTTCTTTGTATCACCAACTGGTAGTTGTGCACTCTTGCCTTCTCCCTCCTCCGACCTCTCCAGCTCCATCTGCCTTTTGTACATGTGTTCTGGGCACTTAATCTGATACCGAGGCCAGATGAACTCATGTTCTATAAACTCAAATAGTGATCTGTACCCTCCACTTTGCCAGATGCTGTACGAAACTTTAGCATGGCACTCTTTTTTTTTTTTTTTTTTAAGATTTTATATTTATTCATGAGAGACACAGGCAGAGGGAGAAGCAGGCTCCATGCAGGGAGCCCGATGTGGGACTCCATCCTGGGACACCGGGATCATGCCCTGAGCTGAAGGCAGATGCTCAACCGCTGAGCCACCCAGGCGTCCCTAGCATGGCATTCTTAATCTCAAAGATGCTTGTAGTCTATTTGGCAAAACAATGTGCAGGTGATAGAAGTTCAATAACACAGCAACACTTGATTAACAGTGGGTTGTGCGTGTGACATAGTTGTGTCCTCTAGTAATTAACTCTGGACTAGTTTGGTTGGGGAAGGTTTGAAAAGGGGCTAGACTGGAGCTTGAAGGAAGAGCAATTTGAAGAAGCTGTCTAGATAGTTGAGAACTTTCCACGTTGGTGAGCACATGGAGGTTTGGGGAGAGAGAGGAACAAGCTCAGGCCGAGGCAGCTTCCTTTCCCTTCCCCTCTGCAGCTCCTCTGCCTGACTGTTCCTGAATTACAGCCTGTGCGGTAAACTGATAATCTTGTAAGTAAACTGTTTCTTGAGGCACCTCTGTGGCTCAGTGGTTGAGCATCTGCCTTCAGCTCAGGGAGTGATCCCAGGGTCCTGGGATTGAGTCCCACATCGGGCTCCCTGCAGGGAGCCTACTTCTCCCTCTATGTCTCTGCTTCTATGGGTCTCTCATGAATAATTAAAATCTCTTTTAAAAAATAAAATGTTTCTCTGAGCCTGTGAGCTGCTCTAGCAAATTAAACCCAAGGAGGTATCATTGGAACCTCCAGAGAGAAAATAAAATCATTTAATGCTTCAGAATAAAAAGCTGAGGGGATATCCAGATGAGTCTTGGGAAAGTAAGGAGAACTGGGCTTGTTTGGAGGTTCAGGGTGAGAGGGGACTATACCTGACACTTGATGGGGCACTTGCGCTATGCCAATACATGGTGTATATGTCATATAGAGGCATATACACATAACTCCTTGCTGCACTTTTCAGGTAATCCTCATTAACCACCACAAGGTTAGCACTATTATCTCTTTTTTACAGCCAGGGAAAATAGGCTCAGAAGTTAAGTGGATTTACCCAAGGTCAAACAACAAACAAATATTGGAGAAAGATTTGAGTCAGGAATAGCAGGGGTGGAAGGTACTTGGTGTTAGAAGTCTTGAAGATCCTTGAAGTCCAGGCTAAGAAATGTGGGTTATCATCTAGGCCAGAGCTTAACGAACTTTCTCAGTTCACGATGCAGCCCCAGTTAGTGTCTCCGTAACATAACCCCCAAAGAAGTAACTAATGGTTCTATTTTAAGTGGTTAGATCCAACAATTAGTAGGTATTTGAAAAAATAATACACATAAATCTAAAGGAAAAAACTATTTCGTTTTTAAAGAACTATGATTATTCACTAATGGAATTGTCTACATAAAATGAACAAACTTTTTAGAATCTCTACAAGTAAGAAGGAGGGGTGCCTGGGTGGCTCAGTAGGTTAAACTGCCACCTCTTGATTTCAGCTCAGGTCATGATATCAGGGTTGTGAGGCCAAGCCCTGTTTTGGGCTCAGGGCTCAGCACAGTCTGCTTGTCTCTCTCCTTCCCCATCTGTGCTCTATGCCCCCACCCCTGCCACCATCCCCACTAAAAAATAAAAGTTTTATTAGAGCCCAAGTTAAGACAGCTACCTTGGAAAATATGCTCTTAAAGAAAGTGTTCTGGAGAATGAACTGCTTATTTGTTAAAGATTTATTCATTTGAGAGAGCCCATGCAAGCAACAGCAGGAGAGCAAGGGCAGGTGGGAGGGAGGAGGGTCAGAGAGAGAGAAGGGAAGGAGAGGAGGAGATTGTTCCCTGAGCAGGGAGCCAACATGGGGCTGGATCCTGAGGGGATCGTGACCTGATTCAAAGGCAGACAACCAGCTGAGCCACCCAGGCACCCGGAGAATGAACAGTTTTTACAGTGTTATCCTTTTTTACATCTTGTAAAAGCTGAAAAGATTATGGATTTTTTTTAAGGTTTGAGAGAGCAGAGGGAGAGAATCTCCAGCAGTCTCCCTGCAGAGCCTGAGGCAGGGCTCAATCCCACAACCCTGAGATCATGACCTGAGCTGAAATCAAGAGTTGGACACTTGATCAACTGAGCCATCCAGGCACCCCAAAAGATTATAGATTAACATATAGGCAAGAATCACAAGTTTCACTGTCAAGGAATGCAATGAGTAGGTACATTAATCAAGACCTTTTTTCTTTTTTTTCTTTAGAGAGCGCAAGAGAGTGAGAGATCACGAGTAGCAGGGAGGGGCAGCAGGCCTTGATCCCAGGACCCTGGGACCTTGAGCTGAGCCAAAGGCAGACACTTAACCAACTGAGATGTTTTTCCTCTAGGCTACAGATATACAGCGTACACTTGGTGGGCCGTAAGTTAGGCTTTTGGTTTATATCAAGTTTATGTACATGCTGATTTAGAAATCTAAATTTCTAAATGGCCTCCCTAATATATCAGGCTTTTAGGGGAGTTTTTCCTCTCACCAGAATGTTAGGCATTGCTTAACTTCTCAAACTTTGGAATCAAATAGGACACCACCACCTTCAAGGCAATAAGGAATCGCTGACAAATTTTCAGCAGGCAGTCACCAAAATGTTTTAGAAAAATGAATGTAGCCTTGGTGTTAAAGATGGATGACAGGATCGAGAGAGTGGCGTCAAGGACATCAGGAAAATAAAAATTAAATGTTAGGGCCATGACAGCAATGGAGTAAGGGAAGATTTGAAACACAAGAAAACTATAGGAATTATAGTTGACCCTTGAACAAAGCAGAGGTAAAGGACACTGACCCCTCTCCCAGTGATACAGTTGAAAATCTGCAGGTAACTTCTTTTTTAATTCTGTTAGAATTTTTATTAAGTGAGCTTTAGTTATTTTTAAGTAATCTCTACATCCAGTATGGGGCTCGAATTCATGACCCTGAGGTCAAGAGTTGCATGTTCTACTGACTGAGCCAGCCAGGAGCCCTAAATATCTGCATATAACTTGACTCCCCCCAAACCTTGATCTTACCAATAACATAGTCAGCCAACACCTATCTTGTATGTTATAGGTATTACACACTGTATTCTCGAAGTAAGCTAGAGAAAAAGTTATTAAGAAAATCATAGGGCGGCCCAGGTGGCTCAGCGGTTTAGCGCCACCTTCAGCCCAGAGCATGATCCTGGAGACCCTGGATGGAGTCCCACGTCAGGCTCCCTGCGTGGAGCCTGTTTCTCCCTCTGCCTTTGTGCCTGTGTTTCTGCCTCTCTGTGTCTCTCATGAGTAAATAAAATCTTTAAAAAAAAAAAAAAAAAGAAAAAGAAAAAATCATAAGGAGGGACACCTGGGTGGCTCAGCAGTTGAGTGTTTAGCTCAGGGTGTGCTCCCGAGGTCCTGGGATCAAGTCCTGCATCAGGCTCCCCACAGGAAGCCTCCTTCTCCCCCTGCCTGTGTCTCTCATGAATAAGTAAAATCTTTAATAAGAAAAAAAAAAAATCATAAGGAAAAAATACATTTACAGTACCGCACTGCATTGAAAAAAGTCTGCATATAAGTGGCCTCATGCAGTTCAAACCCATATTTTTCAAGGGCCAACTGTAATTGATGGCACAAATTATAGGGGGGAAGAAACCTACATATTTGGGGGTTTTGAGCAAGGGTAGCAGAATAATTGGTTATAAGATTAGGATGTTAAGACCGGCTTACAGCCCATTCCTAGCCAGATGGGTGTGGGTTGGAATCCCAGCCCACCCACTAAAATCTGGTCTTTGGCAAATTACTTCCCCTTTCTCATTTTGTCGTGCCCAAGATTGCGAATCCAAGAAACCACCAAGGAGCCGACACACCGATGCAAGCGCACGAGGGTTTATTTGCAAGCTCGAGCTTGGGTCCAAGTACACCCGACACAGTGGAGCAGGGACTTGGACCCCGAAGTGGGTTACAGCTGGGTTTTTTATGGGCTGGTCTAGGGGATTTTCCGAAGAGGTGGAGGAATTTCTCAACTTCTGTTTACATTCTGATATGGGGCTTTTTTTTTTTTTAATTTTTATTTATTTATGACAGTCACACAGAGAGAGAGAGGCAGAGACACAGGCAGAGGGAGAAGCAGGCTCCATGTACTGGGAGCCCGATGTGGGATTTGATCCCGGGTCTCCAGGATCGCGCCCTGGGCCAAAGGCAGGCGCTAAACAGCTGCGCCACCCAGGGATCCCCTGATATGGGGCTTTCAAGGGCATTGAGCTCTGTTCTCATTCTAATAGGGGACTTTCTACCACGGGTGTGGGCTCTGTTGTCTTTCTGATAAGGGATTCCCAGCAGAGGTACATTCTGCAGTTTTTACTGTAAAGTTCAGCTCTTATTCACAGGGGCCTAAGATGGCTGTACTTGTGCTAATGCTAAACTTGAGGTGGAATGGCTTGATTTTTCTCGGCCTCCACAATTTCTTACCAATAAAATGTAATAATACCTGTCTTGCTGGATTGTTAAAAGCGCTGGTTTTACCAGGTCTTTGCAAGCCTCAGATAATCAACTTCCTTCTCAAATGGGAACTCACCTTACTCTTGGCATCAAATTACAACCGTTAAAAAAAAAAACAAACAAAAAACTAGGGGATCCCTGGGTGGCTCAGCAGTTTAGTGCCTGCCTTCGGTCCAGGGTGTGATCCTGGAGTTCCAGGATCGGGTCCTACGTCGGGCTCCCTGCATGGAGCCTGCTTCTCCCTCTGCCTGTGTCTCTGCCTCTCTCTCAGTCTGTGTCTCTCATGAATAAATAAATAAAATATTTAAAAAAAACTAAAGCACCCACATTCATCCCCTCCAGCTATCATCTATCATCTATATTCTGTCTATGGTCAGATTTTTTAAAATTTTATTTATTTTGAGAGAGAAAATGAGCAGGCTGGGGGAGGAGCAAGGAAGAGAGAGAGAGAGAATCTCCAGCAGATTCCCGGGCTATAAGCATGGAGCCCCGTGTGGGTCTCAATTTTACAGCCCTGAGCTGAAATCAAGTGTTGGACACTAAACCAACTAAGCCACTGAGGTGTGCCCCCCCCCCTTTTAAAAGATTTTATTTTTAAGTAATCTCTACACCCAACATGGGGCTTGAACTCACAACCCAGAGATCAAGAGTTACATGCTCCACCGACTGAGCCAGCCAGACACCTCCACAGTCAAATTTCCGATTTCTCATTGTCCTCTTTCAAACTGGCTTAAGGACAAAAACAATTATATGAATTAGCTAAAGTACCTGAATACCTGAGGTCGGTTGTCTCCTTCACAGAAACAGAGAGTAGAATAGAGGTAACCAGGGGCTGCGTTGGGGAGCAAAGGAGGAGTTATGGTTTGATGGGTACACTGTTTGGCACAACGAAAAAGTCCTGAAGATTGATAGTGGTGATGAAGGCACAGCATTGTGCATATACTTAATGCCACTGAATTGTACACTTAAATATGGTTAAGATGGCAAATTTTGTTGTGTATTTTTTTTTTAAAGATTTTATTTATTGATGAGAGACACAGAGAAAGAGAGGCAGGCTCCATGCAGAGAGCCTGATGAGAGACTTGATCCCAGGACTCCAGGATCACGCCCTGGGACCAAGGCAGACGCTCAACTGCTGAGCCACCCATGAGTCCCTTTTTTTTTTTTTTTTTTAAGATTTTATTTGACACTAAGAGATAAAGCACAAGGTACACCACAGAGGGAGAGGGAGAAGCAGGCTGTGCTGAGCAGGGAGCTTGATTCCAGGACCCTGGATCATGACCTAAGCAGAAAGCAGATGCTTAACCAATTGAGCTACTGCCTTTGCCTCAGGTTGTGATCTCGGGGTCCCACAGGCTTCTCTCTGCCTGTGTTTCTGCATCTCTCACAAACAAAATTTATAAAGTGTACTGAGACTTCACAAAGTATACTTACCTTAAATATACACGTCAATAAATTACTGCTCCCCTCCAGAAAGGAGCACTATTCTGACAAAATCACCCTCTATGGGTATTACCTTTTCTTGAATTTTATATAAACGGAATTGTCCATCTCACCAATGTAAAATGTATTGGCATAAATTGCTCAAAATGTCCTTTTTAAAAATCTATAAGATCTAAAGGCGATCTTCTTTTACATTCTTCATATCGGTAATTTGCAATTTTTTTTATCAGTCTTGTTAGTGGTTTATCATTTTTATGTTGATTTTCTCTGTTGTACATCTTTTTCATAATTTCTATTCATATTAATTTCCCTCGATAGTTGGGGTTTTAATTTACTGGGGTTTAAATCTAAATTTATTTAATTTATAGTTGGGGTTCTTTTTCTACCTTCTTAAAATAGGAATTTCAATAGGAATTGAAAATTCATTTCAATTTTTCTCTTGTCCAGTTTATACCTTAAAACTATTAAATTTCCCTCTATTAAAGGGTTTAGCAAATCCATTTGGGACCTGTTTGTTTTTAACATCTCTAAGGGTCAGATAGCCATATCCCACTGGCTTTGCTTTGTCACATTTTTTTTTTAAAGAATTTATCTATTTATTCATGAGAGACAGAGAGACGCAGAGACACAGAAGCAGGCTCCACGCAGGGAGCCCGATGCAGGACTCGATCCCGGGTCTCCAGGATCATGCCCCAGGCTGACGGCAGCGCTAAACCACTGAACCACCCAGGCTGCCCAACTTTGTCACATTTTCATTATTTATCCTTCCAAAGTATTTTCTAAATTCCATTGTGATTTCTTCTTTTACTTATGGATGATCTGGTTTATCTCATTACTCTGCTAAAAAAAGTTTTCACTAAGGTCACCAATGACTTGCCTGTGGGCAAATCTGCTGGACTATTTCAGTTTCAAAGGAGCTGAGGACACCATTAACTACCTCCTAGAAGTTTGGGATCTTGGCTCTGTTAGTGGCCTAAAGTCTAGGGGAGACATTCTACCCCTTTGGCTGAGGTGTGACTCTTGAAAACAGGGTAAAGTGGGGGCCAGGACCCTGCTTGGGGTCTATAAGGAAAACTTTTACTTGGGGTTTAAAGGGGAAAACTTTTCTCCACCTAGGGGAGACCCATCATATGTGAAACAGTGGGGTGACAAAGCATCTCAGTCTGGACAAGCTCACAGAGTCTAGCTTTCGTCTTAGCTGTGTTTAGACCTTGGACTAATGGGGTGCTGTAAGAAGAAACAAATGATTGTCATCAGGTATGCAATTTCCTTTATTCTTCATTAAAAAAATTCAACAGAATATATCTGAAGATCTAACTGGCTTTATTAATTAGTTCATGAATCAGGCAGCATGTCACCTAGCAAGAAGGGAGCTACAAGTATGAAATGGGAGGATTTTGTAGGAAAGAAGGTGAAGCAAGGAAGTCACTAGCAAAAGATTGTTCCAGGCAAAGTCATCTTTCCTTAGGGGGAAGGGCGTGAGGGGGGCGCAGTGGGTAGGAATGAGAGGATCCGAGTGACAGATTACCTCACTGCAGCTGACCAGAAAATTCCAAATTGATTGGTTTAAAACTTTACTCCTGGAGAAATGGAAACTACAATTAAGTCTTGATTTGTTGTCCTGGGAGGAACTGACCCCACCTTGGCCTATGGCTTCCTTTTTAGCCCTCCTAACAGCCTTGCAGTGGGTGGTATTGGTGATCTTGTTCCCACTTTCTTTTCAGGCAGGGCTTCATCCCAGGACTCAGGGCACTCAATTTACCTTGAAATGACCTATTCAGGGCACTGGCCCAACACAAGAGGAGGAAAATAGCCAAGGGGGATAGAAGCTTAATTCCATCAGCTCTCCCCTTCCCTGGTTAAATAACAAAAGTTCAACTAAGTCAATTTTAAAGATCTAATTGGCTTTATTAAGCAGTGTGACTCCGGCAGTGTATTTGGCGAATAGAAAGGAGCACCCCCAGGGTGCAGAAAAGGTTTTTAAAGGTAGCAAAGGTGATTGCCTAGGTGGGTCACCTGCCTTTGGCTCAGGTCATGACCCTGGGGGTCCTGGAATCGGGCCTTGCATCCAGCTCCCCGCAGGGAGCCTGCTTCTCCCTCTGCCTGTGTCTCTGCCTCTCTCTCTCTGTGTGTGTGACTATCATAAAAAAATAAAAAAAAAAAGAAACTTCCTCTTGTGGGTTTCTTATATAAAAAAAAAATAATAGGGCAAATTTTACTGGCTTCTAACAGAGTGCATATCAGAGCCAGGGCTACTTACCCAAACTTAGCTATCCCACACTTGCTGTAAAGATTTGTTTCCGAGCCCTGGGCATCTGGAGAGTTTTCCCAAGCTGCTTTGACACTTCCCTGCCCGCAGAGATCGGCTTCTGCAGGTAGGGACTGCTACGTCAACGCAGAGGAGCTACTGTTGCCCCTCGACTCCGAAGATGCCGTCCCCGCTCTTCTACTTCGAAAAAGGTCTCAACATCAGGAAGATCCCAGCAGGGCTGCTCCACCGCGCTCGCCCCCACCCTGCCCCGCGGGGGCGCCGGGGCTCGGCCGGTCACCGCTGATTGGCTCGCGTGGCGGCCAAGGCCGCGCGGCCTTCGGCGGGCGGCGGAGGGTGATAGGCTGCCGGGGCCCACCCCCTCGCCGCCTGGTGGGCCAGCGCCGGCCGGGATTGGTGGAGCCCGCGGGGCGGGTCGTCGCCGCGGGTGGCAGTCGCCTGCGCCGCCGCCGCCGCCGGCCCTCTGGCTCCCGTGCGAGGCCGAGATGGCGACTTCGGCTCGGCTCCTGGGACGGCGCGCGGCGCGCTGGAGGCTGCGGGCGCCGCTCGGCAGCCTGATGTCCCGGCGGGCCCACTCCCTCCTGCCCGTGGACGATGCGATCAACGGGCTAAGCGCGGAGCAGAAGCAGGTAGGGAGCCGATGCCCTTCCGGGCCCCGAGGCCTGCTGGCCCGGCCGCGGAGCCCTGCGCGGCGGCGGGTCGCCCCGGACGCTGCTCTGCCCGCGCGCGCTCAGCCCCCGCCTGGGGAGCGCGGGCCTCAGTCTCAGCCCCGTGCGAACCGCAAAGCCGAGCTGCCGACTCAGATACGGAGTCAGGCACCCCAAGGCTCCCGGGAGGCCGATGGTGCTTCGGTGGAGGATCGGCAGGGCCACCGGCACGCGCTGGAGAGACCTCGAGTCTGAGGTCCGCTTACACCTGAACACTGTCTTAAGACTCTGGTTCTCAAGCCTGGGTAGTCATCATCACCCGGGAATCTTTTTCGAATACACACTTCGGGGGCCAGAACTCTCACCTCGGAGGGAAAGGTCAAATCAAAGTCTCAGGGGCAGAAAGCCTGGCATGTGCCAAAAATTGAAGAGGCTATGGCTGGAGCACAGTGAGTTGAAGAAAGGTAGTGGAGAAGGCCGGGAGAGTTGGTAAGGGTCAGCTCACACAGGGCCTTATAGGCCTGAGTAAGGAGCTTATCTTATAAGCACAGAGAAAAGCCCTGGAATGATTTTATGTACGGGAGTGACATTTTGGAAAAACTCAAGCTGTCTAGACTGAGGACCTTAAAAGAAAGATCGTTTCTAAGGAAGTATCAACTGGTACAGCCTATGAGTTTCAATCTGGTGCTGTTTGGTGGGGTTACTTAAGGCCTTTTTCCTGAATGTGCCCTCAGGAGTGGGAATGCTGTTCTTAGTGGCAGCAAGGTACTGTTTCCTTGGCATTGGTCCACCTCTCTCCCTCTAGCTTCGTCAGACCATGGCTAAGTTTCTTCAGGAGCACCTAGCCCCCCAGGCCCAGGAGATTGATCACTTCAATGAATTCAAGAACCTTCGAGTGAGTCATGATGCCCATGCGGGGGGGGGGGGGGTGGCTGCCGAGTGACCAGGGGGCAGTTTGGGGGCCTGGCTAGGCTGGGCTGGGAGCTATACCGCTGCCTGGAAGAGCTCAGTCTTCTGGTAAATGAAGCCACCCTAACAGCGCAGCCCCTTTCCGAGAAGCATTTGGCTCTCGTTCCAGATGTGCCAAATACCTGTGACTGGCTGCCTTCTCACTGAGCTCACTATACTCCTTTCTGTTGGCAGGAGTTTTGGAAGCAGCTGGGAAACCTGGGTGTCTTAGGTATCACTGCCCCTGGTGAGTACAGTTTCCTTCCCTAATGAGAACTGTTTCCAAAAGAAACAGGAAAGGAGGGGAGTGTGCTCAAACTCAGGACTACCTCTTGGACCCGAGAAAGCACCCATTGACTGTCAGCCCAGAGAAGAGTACACTGTTCTTTGAACAGTAACATCCAGAAGGCAAAGGGTTGTGGGCAGTGTGGTTCACTTGGTGAGAATCACTTAGACTCTTGAATTCTGCATGTTTAATAAGCAACCCTGGGTGATTTGGGGAGGTTAGAAACTCCATTATCATGCAGCTGCCTTGCACTTAAGTCTTACCTACCATCTCCCCTCAGTTTAGCCCTACTAGTAGCGTCTAGGCAGGACCACTCAGGACAGGTATGTCCTCTGCCCATAGCTAGCCCTGGAGCTCATTTGAGAGCAGATGGTGATATGGGGGGAGAGTGATGCCTGTGTGAGTCTCCAGGTGAGGTGGCCAGATGATGCGTTTAATAGGCTCTCCCAGGGCCTGCCCATTGTCTTCTATGGGTCTCAATACTTGTTTCCAGGGGGAGAAGACATGGAGCTGGTAGGCTTTGGTTTGGATGTTGGCCGCTGGAGGAGAGGCTCAGCCTGGCTTGCAGAGCCCAGTAATGAAATAAGTCTATGGGGGGCGCCTGGGTGGCTCAGTTAAGCATCTGCCTTGGGCTCAGGTCATGATCCCAGGGTCAAGCCCCACACCAGGGTCCCTGCTCAGCTGAGAGCCTGCTTCTCCCTCTCCCCCTCCCTGCCACTTGTGCTTGCGCTCTCTCGCTCTTTGTGTGTCCAGCCTGCCAAGGCCTGGACAGCCCACGCTACTTCAGCTCATATTCATGTATGGGAATAGAGGTGGGACAAAGTGTTCTTCTGTCTCCCCTCACCACTTGGAGACAGTTCCTCAGATCTGAACTGATTCAAGAGTCATGGTAAAATGAAATGACTTAAAAAGTTAGACCATCTTGATGGAAAATGATAGGGGGAAACACCACTGGGAACCCCCAAACCAGACTTCCTTCCACTGTGTTTGGGGGTTTATGAGCCCCCAAAGAAAGCCAGTTCTGGTGAGTTTCAGTCTCCCCTTGGTTTTCCTGGTGGCTGTTTCCAGTGTCACCCACCTGTGGGCTTACCTTCCTGGAGTTTGCAGGGGTTGGGCTGACCTTTCCTTAGAGCCTAAGATGAGCCTGACTTTTCAGTCAGGGTAAACATGTGGAGAGTCTTGTTTGATTTCAAAAAAATTTTTTTTTTTTTTTTTAGTCTCCATACCTATCATGGGGCTTGAACTCATAACCTCAAGATTGAGTTGCCAATGGAGTCAGCCAGACATTCCGTGTACAAGGAGTCTTAACCAGAATTTACCCAAAAAGCAAGGCTGGGGGTAGGAGGTGGGAGTCTCAGGTGATCCAGGACATTGATTTTGGGTCTGTTGACAAGGAAAAGCCACATTAATTGGTGAGGAGCTCAGATAGTGATATCTGTGGCACTCCTGTCCCCTCTTACTGGCCTTGCCTTTAAAAAAAAAAAAAAAAAAAAAACTTTTTAAAGACATTATCAACATACAACATCGCATAAGCTTAAAGAGTTCAACATGTTGATTTGTTAGCCCTGCTTTGTTAGGTCCAAACACCTATGCTATGAAAATCTCCCCTTCCTCGGTCACCTGGCATCCCCTGCTTGGTGTCTCTGTCCTTAGGGCTCTGACCCTCCCTCTTTGTGCTTCTTGATTAACCCCAGGTCCTCTTTCATTTATTCATCTGCCTGTGCACTTCTGTGGCTCTCTGAACAGTGGGTTCTCAGGCTCTCTTGTCTTCAGTGAGAGGTCTGTCCCGGATAACGCGGGCATTGCAATGACTTCTGCACCATACTTCAGCTGACCAGAGGCAACACACAAAGCCAGTTCTGTGAGCTTGTGAAAACAGAGCAACGGCATCAGCCTATTGACCATGCTAGGGGGTAACTTGGAATAGGTGCTACAAGGGGGTTTTTTTGCTGCCAGTAAACATTGCTGTGAATGTCCCAATTTAATTTGGGCTGCCTTTTCCACTCTGCTGCACCACTTCCACTCCCAGCTCAGTACGGCGGCTCCGGCCTGGGCTACTTGGAACAAGTGCTGGTGATGGAGGAGATCTCCCGAGTTTCTGGAGCAGTGGGGCTCAGCTATGGCGCTCACTCCAACCTCTGCCTTAACCAAATTGTGCGCAATGGAAATGAGGCCCAGAAGGAAAAGTACCTCCCCAAGGTGAGGAAATATCAAGGGAGAAACACGCCAGTGTCAGGGCAACCAGCAATCCTGAGGCAATCTCCAAGGTTGGAAAGAACTGGTTAGACTTACTTTCTATGGCATGCTGCCCTCAACCAGATAAGGCTAGGAAGGGTCAGAGATTTGCTTTAAAATAATTCAGTCAGGGCAGCCCTGGTGGCTCAGCAGTTTAGCGCCGCCTTGAGCCCAGGGCCTGATCCTGGAGACCTGGGATCGAGTCCCACGTTGGGCTCCCCGCATGGAGCCTGCTTCTCCTTCTGCCTGTGTCTCTGCCTCTCTCTCTCTCTCTCTCTCTCATGAATAAATAAATAAAATCTTAAAAAAAAAAAGAAATGAAAGATGAGGACTTGCTTCCCTTGCAAAGGAAATGGGAAAGGAGAGATACTTTCAGCCTCACAGATAGTGGGCTTCTGTTCCAGGACTTGACCAATACCTGGTCTGAGACAAGTTTGAAGGGATGTCATGTGAACAGGTGAGAAGCAAGGTCAGTGAGCTCCCGTAGGGCACTTCTGAAGTCATAACCAGCCCTTGTGGTTTCCCTTGCAGCTGATCAGCGGTGAGTACATCGGAGCCCTGGCCATGAGTGAGCCCAATGCTGGCTCTGATGTTGTTTCTATGAAACTGAAAGCAGAGAAGAAAGGTAAGGTTCCTCTCGACTTGGGAGCTTCTGGATTGGGAGCTGAAATGGACAGAAGGACAGATCTCAGGATGAGGGAGCAATCAGTGGGGATTGCCTCTGCTGAGTTTCCAGAGCTATTGCCCAACTAGGCAGCCTCCTGCTCAGCAGCAGATCCGTGAATTGACCGGTTGAGAGAGGCCAACCTGGCTTGACCAAGTAGCCAACTTCTTGTCCTTAGGTGATTACTACATCCTAAATGGAAACAAGTTTTGGATTACTAATGGCCCTGATGCTGACATCCTTATCATCTATGCTAAGACAGATCTGGCTATTGTGCCAGCCTCTCGTGGCATCACAGCCTTTATTGTGGAGAAGGTGAGTGGAGGGCAGTGCCCGGGGGGAGGCTTCTGTCTCCTGACGCCAGTACCAGAGACGGCTCTCCTCAGCTGGTTGCAGACACAATCAAGTGTGTGTTCTGACAAGGTTCCCAGAGGTAGGGGTGAGGTAGAGGAGCTGACTGAAAGGAGGGTGGCCTAATTGGAGCCCAAGAAGGATGAGTCGGGTCTGAGGATGGCGGAGCCACACAGAGGTCCAGGAAGATGAGGGCAAGAAGGAGGCAACCAGATTTGACAACTGAGATGTCATTAGTCGCCTTGGGGAGAGCGGCTGTGGAAACCGCCTGTGAGTAGGAATGCCGAGGGCCGGGGGTGGTGGATGAGGACCTCAGCAAAGCAGGGGGAGATAGAGCAGGAGTTGGAATGAAGAGGTGGACAATTGATTTTTTGTTTTGAAGAATAGGAGAAAATGGAGCAAATTATTTGGTAGAGAGAAAGCGGAATAGGAGAGTAAGCAAAACCCCACAGGGAGCCATGGACAGATAGGGCTTGGTGAGGGTGATGGAGGAGGAGGTATGAGGGCTCGGAATCATGGGGTTGGGGCAGTTGGGAGAGAATTTTTCTTTTCTTTTCTTTTTTTTTTTTTTAGATTTTGTTTATTCATGAGAGACACAGAGAGAGGCAGAGACATAGTCAGAGGGAGAAACAGACTCCATGCAGGGAGCCTGATATGAGACTCGATCCCTGGACTCCAGGATCATGACCTGCGCCTAAGGCAGACACTCAACTGCTTTGCCACTCAGGCATCCCAGTTGGGAGAGAATTCTAAGAACAAATGTCATATAGGTTTATAATACCCTCTGTGGAGAGAGGGGCCTAACCAAGACTGGAGGAATTTCACTGAGAAAGAACTGCTCCTGTGAGAAATGGGGAGATCACACCTAGTGGCAGAGGAGAGTGGAGGGTTAGGGCTGGAGTTTCCAGGAGTGGGTGGTCATACAGAGTGGGGGCCATGGGAGTAGTACACAGTGTATTGTGCAAATTCAGGGACTGGATGGGAAGGTGGGTGTTTCCCAGGGGTCTGTGTTTTACCAGCCCCCTTTGGAGACTGGTCTGTAATCAGGGTCCCCTTTTTTCCCTGTAAAGAATATGCCTGGCTTTAGCACCTCCAAGAAGCTGGACAAACTGGGGATGAGGGGCTCTAACACCTGTGAGCTAATCTTTGAAGACTGCAAGGTTCCTGGTGAGTCTCTGAGAACGAGCAAGCCCCTGTCTGACCCCTTCATAAGCTGACAAGGCCTATCTCTGGGCAAGAGAAGCTCACCATTGTTAGCTTACAATGACATGCGTCTAGACGGTGGGCCTCCCTCCACCTCCATTGCCTACTGGCCCCTGCATGTGGGCCTCGGGCTGTGGGCAGCTGTCCTTCTGGCCAGAGCTGTGTGCCTGACTGCGGCTGTCATGAAGGGTGCTATTTCCTATGTGACTGATACACCGTGCCTGGGGTAGTATGCCAGTATCTGGAGTAGATGGGTAAGATGTGCCCTCGCCCTCTAATGTCCTCCAGACTTCCTTGTTTGTGCGTTTCCCTGGATAGCCCACGTGAGATATTCATTAATGATGCAAAACAACCACTCAGATAAACTAATGGAAGCCAGATTCACTGAAGACAAGGCAATTCAATTTGAGTATTTTTGCAATTAGACCAAGGGCATAGATTTGATGACCAGCTAGGTTCGCTCTGTGCCTCAGCCATAGACCTTCCCTCTCTCCCATGACCCAGGACCCTAGAACAGTATGCTTTGGTTACAAGGAACATCTGCGGGGGTGGGATCAGTGCGGATCCTTGTTAGCAGGAAACAACCGCCCTTGTTAGGCAGGTCAGTGGTCCATGCTGTCCTGAATTTCCTGCTCACACCTCCCAAGGCCATCCAGTGCCCTCACTTCCGGGTGGGGAGGTGCTCAGCAGATTCTGTAAGTAGCACTGAATGACTCATCTCTTAGACAAAGACTGTTCCACTGACCACTCTTGTCAGGGGTGGGGGCCAGTGAGATTGGAGCAGAGAGCAGATCCAGCCTGGGGAATAGTACTTCTCTATCTCTTTTAAGGGCTTGGGTAAAAAGAACTAGGGAGGGGTTGTATGGCTTCTAGACCAAATTAGCTTTTTTTTTTTTTTTTTTTTTAAGATTTTATTTATTTATTCATGAGAGAGAGAGAGAGGCAGAGACACAGGCAGAGGGAGAAGCAGGCTCCATGTGGGGAGCCTGACATGAGACTCGATCCTGGGTCTCCAGGATCAGGCCCTGGGCTAAAGGCAGCACCACACCGCTGAGCCACCCGGGCTGCCCCCAAATTAGCTTTTCTTTCCCATCCAAAGCAGTCGAGGAAGAGAAAGGGAACATTATTTATTTGAGAGAAAGAGCTCGAGCATGAGCGGGGAGGGGCAGACTCAGACTCTCCCCCTGAACAGGGAGCCTGACCCAACACTGCTCCGGATACCAGGACCCCGAGATCATGACCTGAGCCAAAGACAGACATTTAACCGCCTGAGCCCCCCAGGGGCCCCCTAGCAAGCTCTAGTTGTGACTGTAAGTAGTAAATTCCATCCTTTTCACTCACTCAGAACCCTGGTTGGAGTCAGAGGTCAGGTGACATTTTAGTGCCTGTGTGAAAGCCACGGTACCAAACCTGGCAGCTCTTTTTTTTGGGGGGTGGGGGGCAGCTTTTATAAAAGTGAGGAGGCAGGCACCTGGGTGGCTCAGTCAGTTAATCCTTCACCTTCAGCTCAGGTCATGATTCTGGGATCCTGGGATCGAGCCCTGCATCGGGCTCTCTGCTCTGTGGGGAGCCTGCTTCTCCCTCTCCCTCTGCCTACTGTTCTCCCTGGTTGTGCTCTTGCACGTGCTCTCTCTCTCTCTCTCTCTCTGTCAAGTAAATAAAATCTTTTAAAAAAAATATATATATATATATACATATACATTTTTTTAAAGTAAGGAGGCTGTGACCAGCCCTCTTCCCCCTGACTGGTGCTTTTCCTGGCAGCTGCCAACATCCTGGGCCATCTAAGTAAGGGCGTCTACGTACTGATGAGTGGGCTGGACCTGGAACGGCTCGTGCTGGCTGCTGGGCCCCTTGGGTGAGTGTGAGGCTTGGGGGGAGCTCGGTGTTTGGTGTCCTTGGCAGGTGGTGCCATCTACAGGCTTGGGGGCCAATGGGAACTACTTCTGGGAGCTGTACCTTCTTTCTTGGAGACAAAATGAACAAACCTCCTCTCAAATGTACGTCCTTCACAATGAAGGGAAATATTATTAGCCAAAAGGCCTGAGGAGCAATAGTGCTTGATTATTCAGGATGAAGCAGGGCACCCAAGCTCTAAGACCTGTCTGCACAGGAGTCCTGCCACTCCATCTGATCTCAGGGAAAGGGGCACAAGTCCTGGGCAGTCAGTGCAGCGACCGAGCAGAGGTGACAAGAGTCCTCATGCTCCCTTTCTGTTCCCCGGAACCCTGTTCCTTGCCATGCCAAGCTGTATGCCCCCAAGCCTTCCCACACTGGGATTTTGCCACCCCAGCTGGCAATGCGGGTACAGTGCCTTTCTCTTCCCTGGCAGGCTCATGCAGGCCGTCCTCGACCACACCATTCCCTACCTACACACAAGGGAAGCCTTTGGCCAGAAGATCGGCCACTTCCAGGTGAGTCAATCCTTGGCTGAAATGGACTTTTCATCAGGTTCAAATGTTCTTTAACAAACATGCCAGGTATTTACCATCTTTTGCCACCAAAATGAGTCTGAATGCCTGGGCACGTGGGCTTCCTCGGCATGCTACCTGGCTTTGGGATTTAGCGGGAAGGCGATCACATGGTGGCTCGCTCCCGACACGTGGTGAAGGAACTAGACATTACAAGGCTGAATGGCAAGGCGCACAGGTTGTGGGCAGGCATCGGGGAAGGGAGCAGTGTTCCTAGTCACGAGGGCACCCTGGGCAAGTCCAGTCCCCTCTCCATGCCCCGCATCACCGGGCCTGGCTAGCAGGTTGCTAGCGCTAACCAGCTTTTGGTGACCAGGGGGAGTGTCTGAGAGGAATGTGGCTCCAGCATGTTGACTTGTGACCTCCCCTTGCACCCAGCTGATGCAGGGGAAGATGGCCGACATGTACACCCGCCTCATGGCGTGCCGGCAGTATGTCTACAATGTCGCCAAGGCCTGTGATCAAGGCCACTGCACTGCCAAGGTAAAGGCCAGTCGTTGGGACTCCCTGCCCGTGCGGTGCCGGCAGGGCCCTGGCTGACCCAGAGCCCCCTCCCACAGGACTGCGCAGGGGTGATTCTTTACTCAGCTGAGTGCGCCACACGGGTTGCCCTGGATGGCATTCAGTGCTTCGGTGAGTGGCCCCACTCCTGCTCCCAGCACGGGTGGTTTCCTCTTCCCTCCTCTCTCTGCCTCTGCTCACTGCAGCAGGGCTGGCACCTTCAGGCTCCTTCTCCCCAGTTACTAGCAGGACATGTTAAAGCAAATGAGAAAAGCGCTGGAAGCCACGAGCTGCTCCTGCCTTCAGTGGTGCCTCCCTCTCACACTGCCTGCCTGGTCCTGTGAACACTGGGAGACGGGGAAGGAGGGATGGTGGGACAGCCTCGTGTCAGCACTGCACAGAGGTCAAGAGCACAGACTTGAGCCAGGAGGCCTAGGTTTGAACCCCAGCCCAACCACCAACTGGCTTTGTAAATTATGCTGATTACCTAAACCTTCCTGGGCCTCATCCAGTGAGCTCAATGCAGTATCTTCTTGTCCTCCTTCCCGGGTCTGCCAGTGGCTGTCCCCATCTCTGCCTGGTGTCCTCAGCTCTCTGAGTGGCCCTCCAGCTCCTTGTTTCTGCTCTCACAGCCTCCCCTCTCGCCACTGTTTGCTGCATCTCTTTCATCAGTCTCTCCCCCTCTGGCCTGTTCCTGTATACTTGGCTTTCTGTTGGCTTTCCTCACTGCCCATCACCTCCTGTTGCCCTTTCTTCTCTGCCCAAACCCTGGCTGCAGGTGCCAATGGCTACATCAACGACTTTCCCATGGGCCGCTTTCTGCGAGATGCCAAGCTGTATGAGATTGGGGCTGGGACCAGTGAGGTGAGGCGACTGGTCATCGGCAGGGCCTTCAACGCAGACTTCCACTAACCCCAGGACCCTTCACCCCCTTTCTCAGCACCTAGAGGCCTTTCTTTGGGAGTAGAGATACAGCAGCCCTTCTGCTGCCCAGCTGCACTTGTGTCAGCCCTTGGCCTCTGCATGAGTTTGAGGTCTCTACTACGGCTGGCAAGTGCTGTGGGCCTCAGAGCCTGCCCCCCCAGATGCTGCAAGTTGAAGGCGGGCCTGGGGGAAAGGGAGCAACACTTCCAGTCACACCTTCTGGTCCAAAGATACTGTAGGGGGATCCCTGGGTGGCGCAGCGGTTTGGCGCCTGCCTTTGGCCCAGGGCGCGATCCTGGAGACCCGGGATCGAATCCCACGTCAGGCTCCCGGTGAATGGAGCCTGCTTCTCCCTCTGCCTGTGTCTCTGCCTTTCTCTCTCTCTCTGTATGACTATCGTAAATAAATTTAAAAAAAATTAAAAAAAAAAAACAAAAAAAAAAACAAAGATACTGTAGGACATTAATGGGAGTTGTGGTGGGTGGAGGGCCTACCTGAAAAGTGTTCCATGGGTTCAGATGAACTCAGCAAGGGATGCCTGGGTGGCTCAACAGTTGAGCGAGTATCTGCTTTCAGCTCAGGGCATGATCCCGGACTCCCAGGATCGAGTCCCACATCAGGCACCCTGTGAGGAGCCTGCTTCTTCCTCTGCCAGTGTTTCTGCCTCTCTCTCTGTATCTCTCATGAATAAATAAATACAATCTAAAAAAACAAATGGACTCAGCAAGAACCATACTGGCTTTTCTGGGGCTTGCTGGGAAGGCTTTGTGACTCTAACTCCTGAGCACTCCACTTCCCTGGGTGAGCACTAGTGGCTGGCAGGCAGCCACCTTTTGGGGGGGGGGGGGGCTATGTCTCTGGCTGGGAGCCCAGTACATCAGAAGCACTGTCCCTCTACATGTATTTGAACCTGGTAGCCTCTTTTTTCTACGGGGAAGAAAAAAAAAAAAAAACCCAAACCTAGCCTTTGTTTCTGCTGATTTCTAGAGGCATGAGCTCCCAATAGCTTAAGAGCATGCACCCACTCAGCAGCCTTTCTCCCATCCCCCCAGGGCTTCATTTGTGAGAACTGAAACTACCATGTGGGGGTGGAGCTGCAGGGATAGGCACCTCAGAACACCTATGCCACCCAGAGGCAGAGGTCTGTGCTTGTGAGGGATCGGCTCGGGGCCAGGCCAGCCTCCTTGGCAGCAGCTCTGAGCCCTTCAGCACTGCCCTGCCACCACCACCATCTAGTCCTGGCTAGATGACAGCCTACAGCTGACTGGGCAGCTGGCCTGGTTGGCAGCTCCACTCCAGCCAAGGCTGCCCATGTACTGGATGCCCTATGGCTAGTTTTGTTATGACAGCTCGGTGGCTGCTGCCGTTTTGTATTAAACATTAGGAAGCAAATCTATCTGCTTCCAAACTGGTGTTTTGGGAAGAGAAGCAATCTACCTGCTACTGCCTCCTATCTGGCACTAGCCATGTGTCTTTGGAGAATGGCTTGTCCAGGTCCTACTCCTGCCCTCCTACCAGCTCATTGGTGATGCCAGACAAAGAGACAGCATCTGTCTTTAGGAGAGAAGAGGTTTCAAACTCTCCCAGATCTCCCAGTGTTTTTTTTTTCCCCCCAGTGTTTTTTTTAAAGGAAAGAAGGAGCCCAGAGAGTTAAGAGTCTTAGAGCTAGAAGGAAGTTTACACATTTCTGGACACCGTCTTCATGGTTTTTAAAAGACCAATACAGGGGCGCCTGGGTGGTTCAGTCGGTTAAGCATCCAACTCTTGGTTTCAGCTCAGGGTCATGCGATTGGGCTCCACGCTCAGTGGAGCTCTGCTCTAGATTCTTTCCTTCCTTTTCCCTCCCCCTCTGCTCCTCCACCTGCTTACACACCCTCTCACATAAATAAACAAACTCTTACAAGACCAAGACAATTTGATTTTCCCAAGGTCGGAACTGGAGCTAGGATCCAGATCAGCAGAAATGAGAATGCCAGCCTGGAGCCCCACTGCACAGTCAAGAGTGGAATGGGTTAGGGTTGTTCCAATGTATCCAAATTCCCTAAAAGAACTGGTTTTCTTGGCTCTCAGCCCAGGGGTGCCTTTCTGACTTTTGGTCCTGGCCTGTAGCCAAGTGCTTGAGACAGGTGGGAGTTCTCTGCTGAGGGGGAAACCCAGGGTTTGTCCCTTTACTTCCCCACCCTGTTCCCTGCTATGGTGGAGATAAATGTGGCCAAAACAATGATCTTGCTGAGTTTAAAGTGTAGCTGGAACAAGCAGCTTGGAGACCTTCAGAATGTGACAGATCGGAGTGTTTCCTCCAATCAATGTGGGTTACGGAGCTCTGCCACCAACTCCAGGAGACTGATTGTTCTCCTGATGCTGTGTATGTGAAATAGAAAAGGAACATTTTAAAATAAAAACCCCAGAAATATAAGAGTATAGCCTGAGTCATGAATGTTAGAGCAAAGGGCACTCTACTTTGGTTCTTGGAGTTTTGGGTTTACATGCACTCTAACGACAGCGCCAGCTGCCAGCACTAGTGCTGCCTGGGGCTGCTTCTAACTCCACTGCAATTGTAGGCAGGTTCCACTATCAGCCCAGCCCCCCTGTTGACTACCATCCCATTCACTGTTTTCCTGCTGTTTGCCCTGTGCCATGGCTACAGAAGCTGAGAATGAATGGTTCTCCAAGTGTGTCCCTGGGCACACTATCAGAATTTGGCAACCCATAAAACGCCCATGCAGATTCCTTGATCAACCCCAGACCTAATCACACCTCCCGGGGGGCAATGCTTTAGAATAACTGACCTGGGACCTATAGAGGACACTTCCCCCAGAGACCTGAATCCTAATTCTAGTCTCATCTGGTAATAACAAGTCTTAACCTGTGTAGCACTTTCAAGCCTGGATTTGATATATCAGCTGCTTGGTCTTCGCCACAGCCCGGTGCGGGAGACGATGCCGTGCAGGGCCACCTTCCAGGAGACAGATGAGGGGCGTGGCCCAGGGACACAGAACCCAGAGCAGAGCCCGCCGTGCCCAGAAGCGAGGTGGAGCCGAGCCACAGCGGTGCCAACGCGGCGTGGGAGGTGGGGTCGGGAAACCCTCTTTTTATTTGGCTGCTGCCGCCCAGCCTACCCCGCCCCCCGCCCGGCAGAGCCGGGACCCAGGTCCCACGTGGCCGCCAGTCGCGACCCCTGGGCGAGGGCAGGCCGGGTGAGCTCCCTGCGGCCGAGGGACCGCGCGGGGCAGGGCGCCGCTGGGACTCGGGCTTGGTCTCGGGCGCGGTTCCGCGGGGCCTGCGTGGAACTCGCCTGACCTCTGCCGGCCGCTCGCGGGGTTGCAGGCGCGCAGAGTCGCTGCTCTCCGGCCTTAGGCGGGGAGCTCAGGACTATGGCTCCTGGTCTCAGATTTCAGGGTACGCTGGGCTCATTGTCTTTGTTTGTTTTGGTTTATTTTTGCCAAATGAGGACAGGAGGGAGCGGGGGAGAAGCTTGCGATCCTCTATCTTGTATCGTTTTGTTAAAAAAAAAAAAGCCACTTTCAGCCATTTAAAAAAGGAGAAACGGAAACTCAGAACAAGAGCCAGTGCTGCTTTTTTTATTTTGAAAATTTTCTATATGTTTTATGCTTATGAGTTTTAAAATATGATAGTTTAACATGTTTATTTTATTTTTATATCTCCCCTTCCCCCACCCCCCGCCCCCTGCCCAGCCCTTCTCCTCCCAGGATGAGACCACTCTTGAATCTTTAAGAGATTTTTTTTGGCAATGCACTTTATACCTCTAAGTGATGTGCTTCTTTATTGATTTAACTGCAAACACTTCTAAGGATAGTTCTTCCAAATGCATACATTTAACTTATAAAACGCTCATTACATGCCTGTGTTTTCCTCACTTCCTCGGGCCAGTCTTGTCCACAAGCCAGCATTTAGGAATCCTGGGATCAAAAGTTGCAGAGTCCCATTCACATTCCTTGCTGGCCTCTGCCCACACCTAGTGCCCCTTGGTACCAGGAGCCCAGAGCCACACTCATTCTGGACTGGAGCCCTCTTTTCACTCTGTTCCACCTGGTGGCTCTGCAGAGAGCTGGTGTCTCCTACACCCACCACCCATCAGACAGAACTAGCTTATTTTTGGATCCACAGCAACCTGACAATTTGTCTGCCTTCCTCCAATCCATATCCCTCAACCCTTCCTCTAACATGAGCCAGAGTGAACTATCCAGCTCCCGCCAAATCCTTTAGTGGATCTTAGCACCTATAAAAATCTAAGGTTTTACAAGGCAAATAGGACTCTGCTGTCCCCTCAAGCTGCTTCTCTCCCCATCCCTGCTGAGTCCTTGCGTTTTGGTAGCAAATAGTCCTCGGGTGCTGTTCCTTACCTCTGTGCCTTTTCCCAGCTAGTCCCTCTGCAAAAGATGTCCTTCACCTTGCTCTTGTTTTCCTCATCCCCAAAGTCTCAGTTCAGGGTTTGAACGTTCCTTTGCATTAGGCTAAGAACTTAAGGGCCAGGATTGTGATGCAACTGCCTATATTCACCATCCAGCAGCTAATAATAGGTACATAATAGGTGTGCAACAAATGTTTATTGAAAGAGTGGATAAGCAGTCATGTGACACTTAGCTCACACTTTTCTGGTACCATATTATTTGTGTATATGATTGCCTGAGTATACTGTAAGATTTTGAGGTCAAAGACCATTTCTCACTCATCTGAACCCTCCCAGCAGCACCCAGTGCTCACAGTAAGTGCTCCATGGCTATGTTCATGCTGAATGAGTGAAACAACAGGTGGGCCAGAGCCCTGGCCTAATCCCCAGAGTTGGCACAAAGAGCAGAGCCAGCCGGCCTCGCCTGGCCCTGCTTTCCCCAGGCCTTCTCACCCTGGAGTAGCCAGGGCCCAGCTGTGGACAGGAGGCCCTCACCCCCATATTCCTCTGACCCACTCAGAAACAGAGAACTGCACTGAGGGACCCTGGCCCCTCCTCTGGCAGCTGAGGACAAGAATGGGGATTGGATGGAGAAAAGAGGCAGAGTTAAGCACGCACCACCCTTTTTTTTCCTCTTGTGTAAAATGTATGATCTATACAGAAGAGTGTGTGACATGCATAAATGCAGTGTAAAGAACAATAATAAAACAAACTCCTGTGTACCCAGCCCCCAGGTCAATGAATATTCCAAGTACCTTAGAAGCCCCTGACATATTCTCCCCAAAGGAGCCACCATCCTTGAGTTAATGACAATCCTCTCCCCCCTTCACACCATTTTTTTATGGTTTCCTACTCTATGTATATCCCTAAGCAATATTGTTTAGATCGCCTTTTGTGTGTGTGTATTTTTTTTTTAACTTTCTACAATTAGTCCTATTCTAAATATATTCTATGTCTTCCTTCTTTGGCTTATCATTGTATGGTTTTTAAGGATTCATTCATGTTAATAAGTGGAGCTGTAATTTGGTCAAATTTTTTCCTTGTATAGCATTCCATTGTGTGAAAATACTACAAGTTAATTATCCATTCTAGTGCTGACGGACATTTGGGTTGTTTCCAGTTTGGGGCTACTCTAAAACATTCTGTGTCTTCTGGTTTGTGTGTGCAAGAATCTCTCTAGGTATGTTCCCAGGAGTGGGATTTCTCTGTTGTAGTAGGGTATGCCATGTGATTAGTTTTACTAGGTAATTCCAAACTGTTTTCCAAAGTCGTGTGACTATATTTTTTAAATCAGTGCCACCAGA